GGAGATAAACAGATTAAAGAAAAGCCTGGTGTTAAATGGAAAAATGGGAGTAGTGACCTCAGAGCAAGACCCCACACACACAGCTAAACTTCCAATTTGTAAAAAGGAATTAGATAAGCTTAAACTGGATGTGGTGATTCACACCTTTAATCCTAGCACTTCCAGAGGAAAAGGCAGGCAGATGTCTGCAATTGAGGCCAGCCTGGTCTATAGATTGAGTTCCAGGACAGCGGAGATTAAGCAGTGAAAGGAACTACCGAAAATAGAAAGCTGGTGAAAATGTATTTGAACAAGAGGGCCGTGTTGCCCTAACAGGCAGCAGACAGAACTTGGCAGCTTTGGTCACATGGTTCAAGGATAAAAGAAAGGGGCTACAGAATCTCCTTCATGCTAAGGAAAGATTCTGGGTCTAGGCATGTGTCAGAGATGTCCCTGCATGGAGGCCCAAAGAGGCCATTGAATGGGGCTGTGAAGTTGAAGCCTGGATTGCCCTGAAGATCCTAAGATGTTGGAGATGGCAGAGTTGTGGGGTGTAACTGCCAGGGAGAGCTGCTGTTAGGGTGTGTAACCAGCCCATCTCTAACATCTTGGGTTCTCCACGGCACTCCAGGCTTCAACTTCACAGCTTCACGCAATGGCCTCTCCATTCCTCCACTCAGGGACACCCCTGACTCATGCCTGGCCTCAGCGGCTTTCCTTAGGCATGGAGGCAAAGTCTTCCATCCTTAACTCTAAAGTCAGAACCTCATGGCCAAAGCTGCCAGGTTCTGCCGCTTACTGGGATGGGAACACGGCCCCCTCCTTCAATTCTGTCTTCACCAGCTTTCTGTTTTCTACCTTCACTGCTGAAGTTGGCTGTCCTGAAACTGGATTTCTAGAGCAGGCTAGCCTTGAACTCAGAGATCTGCCAGCCTCTGCCTTTCAAGTGCTGAGATTAAAGGAGTGTACTGCCGTACTTGGCTCTAAGCTTTTCTTTAATTCACAAATTGGAAATTTAGCTGAGTGAAATCTTGTCTCGAGGTCACCACTCCCTTTATTTCTTTTCTTATTCTGTCTCCTTGAACACAGGATTTAGTTCCGGTCCACTTTTTGGTGTTTCCTTTCTCCTTAAATTTTACATTTTGTAATTCACCCTGCTCATCTTGCTCCTTTTATCTTCATTAATAACCACACCACAGTCTATCCCAGGCTGTTTTGAGATTTCCTCTGCCAACAGATAATTCAAAAACTCTTCATTTTAGCCCCAGGCAGACTCTTTGGACAATGGCAAAAGGCAGCCACATTCTTCACCAAAATATCACAAGACCAGTCTGTTGAAGAACATTAAGATTTCTTACTTTTGTTTATACTGTAGAGCATTTGTTTCATGACTTAAAGATGTAGTTCTTTGCCTGTTTAAAGCATCTGATGGCCTAATAAAGACCTGAGCAGCCAATAAAGAGGCAGGAGAAAGGATAGGCAGGGCTGACAGGCAGAGAGAATAAATAGAAGAAATTTAGTGATTTAATTAATACAGTTTCTGTGTAAATATTTCAAGTCTGGGTGGCCAGGAAAACGAGCAAGCAGCCCCTGCCAACAGGTAGATCTCTATGTTCAAGGCCAGCATGGTATGCATAGCAAGTTCCAGGGCAGCTAGGACTACATAGAGAGATCCCATGGCAAAAGAAAAATTGTATTGTGTGCACTTGTTGCTCTTGCAGAGGACCTGGCTTGACTCTTAGCATCCACACCAGGCACCTCACAACTCTCTGTAGTTCCAGTTCCAGAGAATCTGATGCCTTCTTCAAGGTACTGCACATACATGGTATATATACAGGCAAGCAGAAATACACTCATACAAATGAATAAACAGAAACACAAATTTAATTGTATTGCTTGGCAGGCAAAAATAGCTCCGTGAATAGTGGCACTTTCAAACTTGAGGACCCGAGTCCAATCTCCAGAACCCACGTAGTAGGAGAGCACTGACTTTGAAAATTGTCCATTGGCCTCCACGTATACACCTGTATTTAGCACTGTGAAGACCCTGTGCTCAATCTCCAGCGTAGCAATGGTTTGTTTTTATATTTCTGAGTTGCGTGAGTTCTTTAATAAAGTCAGTTATATATAGGGCAAACATTTTAACATCTCTCCAGCTGAGGATACTTGAGAATAGAAATATATAAGTAGAAAACAATTTAAACAAAAATTTAAATCAGCTGTTATTGGCATAAATTAACCTCTTTTCTAAAAGCATAATGTGATGTACGATTAATAAATGTTCAGGGTCAGAAATTGGGGTTCAACCTGAAGATTCAAAAAGCAAAACAGCCAGCCACTGGCTCTTCAGTCTGAAATGGCGATCCTGCCTCCTGGAATCTCAGAAGGAGACTGCTTCTGAGAGCTGTTTCCTCCCGTTTTATAATCCTCTCTAGTGCTGGAATTAAGAGTTTGCTCCACTGGGATTAAAGGCATGCACCACCCGATTTCTATGGCAACTAGGGTGGCTACTGGGATTAAAGGTGTGTGTTACCATAACCTGGTCTGTAAGGCTGACCAGTGGGACTGTTTTACTCTCAGATCTTCAGGCAGTCTTTATTTATTAAAATACAACTCAAATGCCACTACAGTAATGGGTCTGGTAAATGGCTCATCAGGTAAAGACACCTGCTGCCAAGTCTGACGACTTCATTCATTCCCTCGGACCTACAATGGTGGACAGAGAGAAATGACTCTGACAAACTGTCCTCTGACCTCCTCAAGCATGCCTCCACACACACACACACACACACACACCACAGAGCTCACAAAAGAAATAGAAATGTAATAGAAATATAAAAAACTGAAATAATGAGGAATACAGTTACTGGTTTTCCAAATAGCCTTTGTTATGATAAGATTTTCCTAAAAGTCAAAATCTTGGCATAGGAAAATGTCACTCCAGATTTCCTTGTGGAAATTGGAACTGTGACAGGTTGGCATGTTTCTGTGCTAATTAGAGGTTAAAGCTGAGATGTCTGACTCCACTGAAGGTTTCCCATTCAGGCAGCAATTGCACTAAGGGGCCCCAACAGAAAGGAAGGCAGTATTCTAACATGGCCCTGGCTGTCCCGGAACTCACCTGCCTTTGCCTCCTGACTGCTAGGATTAAAGGTGTGCCCAACCACATCTGGCTTTAAGAGAGAATTCTTTAGTGGTGCAGTTACTGACAAAGTGCCCATTCCCCTTATGCAACTGTAATGAAACTCACAGATCAGAAAGTGGATCAGCAGGTAAGGAGACACTTGCCACCAAGCCTGGCCACCTGAGTTTGAGCCCTAGGACACACATCATCAAAGGAGAAAACTGAATCCTGACCTCTACACATGCGCTCTCTCTCTCTCTCTCTCTCTCTCTCTCTCTCTCTCTCTCTCTCTCACACACACACACACACACACACATACACACTGTCATTTAAAAAAAAATCTTTAAACAAAAAGTGTAGCACAAATAATAAAAACCCAGAGGCAGATATAGGGGTTAAATCTGAAGGTCAGAGAAGCAGAGCACCAGCCACCAGAGACCTTTTACCTCTACCAATGCTCAGACTGAAGGGGTGATCCTCAGACTGCCTACACTGCTCTGTCTCCCCATACCTCAGACTTCACACTCCAGTGAGTTCCTGTCTCTTTTCCTTTATATTCCTCTCCGCCCAGCCATATTGCTCCCATCTCCACCTCCCTAGTGCTGGGATTAAAGGTGTGAGCCACTACCACCTGGATCTGTTTCTGGATCGATCTTGCATAGACCAGGATAGCCTTGAACTCACAGAAATCCAATTACCTCTGTCTTTCTGGGAATAAAGGTGTGTGTTATCACTCCATGGCCCCTAGTGGCTCAGCTTTGCACTCTGATCTTCAGGCAAGCTTTGTTTATCAAAATACAAATAAAATATCACTACAAAAAGGAACTCATTGGCTCACCAAAAAAGTTAAAGACGTGAAAGCAGAAGATGAGAGGGAATGGGAGGGGGGACAAAGGGGGTAATAAGGGTATGCTCAAAATATGTTCATGAAGCCAGTCCGTGGCAGCATACACCATTAATCCCAGCACTCTCTGGGATTAAAGGAGGACAGACCTCTATGAGTTCGAGACCTGCCTGGACTACAAAAAAGTTCCAGGACAGTCAGGGCTGTTAAACAGAGAAACTCCGTCTTGAAAAGCAAAACAAAACAAAGTACATGTATGGAAATGTCATAATTAAATTTGGTGTTATATATAATATATGCTAATAAAAATTAAGTCATTAATGCTTACAATCTCATAACCAGTTACTGCTCAAATGAACAATGGTTCGTTTCTTGCCTAGCACAAAAAAATAAATTAATTTTCTGTTGTATTTGTTGGACTAGCTTAGATTCTAACAAACATTCTACAAAAAGCACCAACAAAATTAGGAGCACACAGTAAAATATTTTTGTGCATATCCTGTTTTAACAGAAGCAATAAGTGCAAACATTGCAGATATCAAACTTTGCTAATTTCCCAGTAGCACCAACCTCCTACTACCTAGATTAACATCATTCTTTCATTCGCAAATGGCAGGCAAAGTGAGAACATGATTCTGTAGATACTGGAAAGGTAATAAACCAAGCAGCAAAACTACCCCCCCATCCCAAGTACAAGCCAGCTAAGAAGGTAAGAGAAGTCATTACAAGAACTTACTGAAGGGTAGCTAAGGGTCAATTACCCAGGTTGTTAATTTACTCTTCCTGAGCCCCCCTCCCCCGTGTGTGTGTGTGTGTGTGTGTGTGTCTGTCTGTCTGTCTGTCTGTCTGTCTGGTCTCCCAGTTACCCACACCGGATCCCTCCTGCCTCAGCCTCAAGAATGCTGAGATTACAATTCGTGAGTCACCACGCCCTGCCAGGGACTAAGATCTTAAAATGTTTTAGGCATCTGCCTGCAGATTTAAGAGAATGGTTCAGACGTTGTGGGAAATGACCTCAGCGTGCAGCCTCCCTTCTCCAAAGCCCTGTTATTGTTGAGGTTGGGTTGGGCGACATCCCCTGGGGGAAGACAGGATTCCGCTCGGCCGCGACGGGAGGCTGCACGGCAGGCGGTCAGGCGGGCGGGCAGGCTCGCACCCGGACGGGGACGGACGCGCCTGCGAGCCCTCCGAACTCGCAGGTGCGCGCCCGCCCGCCCGGGACCGCGCGCTTCCGAGCTCGGCGCGCGCGCCCTACCGCGCAGCTCGGCTCCGCTTGACCCGCGGGCGCCAGACGCCGTGCTCCGGCGGGCGCAGCCGCGGCGGCGCGGGCCTCCCGAGCTGACACTCCCCCTGCGCGCCCCTCCCCCGCCGCGGCGCAATCCCGCCCGCCCGCCCGCCTGCCTGCGCGCGAGCCCGAGGCCGCTTCCCCCGGTACCGGCGACTGCGCGGCCCTGGGCGCGCCGGGGTCGCCTCAGGGTCCGAGCGGCAGCGGTGGCCTCCTCGGCGAGCGAAGCCTGCGACGCTGCCGAACCCGGCTCCCCATCGGTTCACCTCCGCGAGCCGCGGCGACGACCGCAGAGGCGGCGGCGGGATGAGCGGTAGCGGCGCGGCGCCGGGCCCGGGCTCGGGGTCCTCCCCGGCCGCCTGTCGCTTCGCGCACTACTTTGTGCTGTGCGGGATCGATGCGGACAGCGGACTGGAGCCTGACGAGCTGGCGGGTAAGGCCGGGCTGGCTGCGGAGGCGCAAGGGAGGCGAGGTGCGGGCTCCACAGACAAAAAGTCGGCGGCTGCCGTAGCCGCACTCGGGCTGGACGGGCACTCGTGGGCGATGTTATGACATTGTTGTTAATTCCGCGCTCTGGCTGAGCCCGCGGGCGCTGGGATCGGCGTACCCGGCGCGGGCCGCCAGAGGCCGGACCCCTCCGCTGCTCGCGGCGCGCGTGACCGGGCTGTGCCGCGGTTCGCCAAGTTTGGCCCTGGAGGCTGAATTGTGTCGGAACCCCGGGGCGACGGCGAGGTCCGCTCGGGCGGGAGGCCCAGCGGCCACGGCCCCGACCGGCCGCTCTCGGCCGGCGCCACCCCTCCCCCCGGTTCTGCGATGACGGCCGAGTCACCCTTTGGAATCCGGTGGATTTGGCAGCGCCGGTGCCGCGCGCAGGCGAGGACCTTTGGACGCTGGAGCGGGATGCGGCCCGGTGCTTTGTTGATTTTCCCCCCTCCCCCCGCGCCCCGTTCCTGAGTTGACGTAGTGGGGCGATCCTTCTCGAGAGGGGCGCACCGTGAGTCATCACCGAGGTGTCCCTGTAGGAGCGTGGGCCCCCATTTGACTGGTTCGATGACGCAGTGCGGGACTGAGCCGGGGAACCGGCACCGGGAACCCGGGCCGTTGAATGATGATGGAGGCGTGGGGGGGGGGGGGGGGGGGGGGGGGGGGGGGGGGGGGGGGGGATGCGCAGTGTGGGGAGCAGAACGGGAGAAATAACAGATTGCATTTTTATTTTTCACTCTCCTTTCCTCCGTGGGATCTGAATCGTGATTTTTTTTTTAAGGGTGAGACACGTGACACCTACCACCTGAACTTTATCTGTGTCAGTGCTAAACACTTAGGTCATAGCCTTTCAGAACAGCGGCTTTGGAACATAGCGGCTCTCATTGAGTGCACCAGTATAGATTTTTCTCTCTCCATTGAGGAGAGGCTTGGGAAGAATGTACAAAGTAATAAGTGGTAGTAAATAAAACTGTTCAGTCTTTAAAAATACAGTCCCACGTCTTAGCTGAGAATCTTTTTTATTAAGTCACCTTCAGAGAAAATGTTTTCAGCAAAAACTAAGTGTAGTTTTATTTATTTACTGAAAAGAGGATAATAGAGTACCAGGTTTCCCCCGTGTGTGTAATTATGTAACATACTATTTCTTCAGCTAAGATTTCGTGTACATGTTATGAATGGCATTGCTAAGGGATATGAAGTTGAGGGGAAGTGTCTGCAGAGTTATTTTGGAGAAAGATTTCTCTTGGGTTAGTAAAATTCTCTAAGATCCCTTCTCTAAACAACTGGGATTTCTTGGAGGCCTTCTATGCCAGGTTACCGATGAAAGAAAAAAGCCTGTGTTTGTCCTCTCTTTGTCTGCTAACGCCAAAACAAGGCCTTTTAAAAAAAGTGTGTCCTGGGACTCTCCAAGTGTGATGCAGATGGCGTAAAACATTTTATTTTAATGTAATTTAAATTTTCTCTCTTCGTCACTTTTTGTCACAGCTGAATATGGTTTCGCATGCTTGTAGTCTCAGTACTTACCAGGCTGAGGCAAGGGGATGGGTGTGAGTTTGAGGCCAGCTGGAACTACAGAGGGAGAGACCCTTTTCAGAAACAACAAAGGGCAGGGGAGGTTGAAGAAACAGGACTGGAGAAGAAGCAGTGCCCGAGGAAGAGACAGCTGCAAACTCTGTAGAAATGACAAAATGCGAGGCACACACACACACACACACACACAGATTTTGTGCATTTTCGTTTATTACTTTGTGTGTATGCCCTGTGTTGTGTGTGTGTGTGTTGGGGGGGTCGTGGCGCATGTGTTACAACATGCATGTGTAGGACAGAGGACAACTTTATGGAACCAAATTCTTTCGTTCCATGTTTATGTGGGTTCCAGCAATTAAAGTCAGGTCTCTAGGCTTGTGCGGCAAATGCTCTTGCCTTCTGAGCCATCTTGCAAACCCTTTAATGCGTTAACCCTTTAATGTGTTTTTTTTAAAAAAGATAGATAGATAGATATACATATGTGTATGTGCACACTTATCTGTACCTGTGCAAAAGTGCAAGTGCCAGCAGAGGCCAGAAGAGCACATTAGATCACCTGGAGCTATAGTTACAGGGGGTTGTGAGGCACCTGATGTTTATTTAGTTCTGGGAACTGAACTCAGGTCCTCTGGAAGAGCAGCAAGTGCTCTTAACTCTGAGCCATTTCTCCAGCCCCTTCTGATGTGCATTTTAAAAAAATTATATCTTTATTTATCTTATATATGTATGGGTGCGTGCTTGTTTTCTGTGGCGTGAGATCAGAGGACACTTTGAGACTCGGTTCTCTCCTTCCGCTGTGTCGGACCCAGGAATTGAACTCAGGTCATCAGATTTGGCAGAGGTGCCTTTGCCTGTCGAACACCTCATTGGCCTCTCTTATATATTCTTTGGGATACAAATTGTGTTTTCTTTTTTGCAGTGTAATTGACTTTTCTGTTCACAATATTTGGAGAGCTCAGATAATATTGTATTTTTAAAAGGTTGGTGTAGATTGTCAAGAAGCTCAGGGAACATCTGCAGAGAGAATAAAGTCCCTTCCATATCGCAGTTACATCCTAGTATAAACAAACAGTGAAGACATATCCTTTTTTTCTTACCTTTCCCCCCTTCAATACTGGAGATTGAAAATAGAGCCTCATTCACCAGGCACTGAATTACTTCCCCACCTCTTTAAAACAGTTTTTACATTAAGTTACCCACACTGGCCTGAAACCTGCATTGTATCCCAGAAAGGCCTTGAACTTGGGATCCTCCTGCCTCAGCCTCCCCAATAGCTGCGATTGTAGGCTTTCCACAACAGGTCCAATTTCTGTGTCCAAATTAATAAAGAAATACGAGAAAAAATGGAACAGGAAAATGGGATCAGAATTGTGGTTATTTTATGTTGGTGGGAAATGCACGGGCACGTGCCTTTGGCTTTAAATAAGACAGTTAGAGAAGACCTCCCGGAGAAAGTGGCGGGAGCACAGCCGGAAGGAGGCGGACTCTGGGGCAGTGGACTCAACACGTGAATCCCAACCCCCAGGTGTCAAAGGACCCTTTCACAGGGGTCACCTAAGACCATCTGCGTATCAGATATTTACATTATGATTCATAATAGTAGCAAAATTAGTTTTGGAGTAGCAGTGAAAAGAATTTTGTGGTTGACGGTCACCACAACACGAGGAACTGTGTTAAGGGGTCGCAGCATTAGGGAAGTTGAGAACGCCTGGTCTAGGGAAAGAGCATTATAGGCAGAACAAACGGCAAGATACCCTGAAGTGGAACATTGACTGGTTTATGTGGGTAACTATAGCAGGATTTTTCCTTTGAGCCGCCAGCCAGCTCCCAAATCGTAACGTTGAGACTTACTAGTTATGAATGCTCGGTTTAGCTTAGGCTTGTTTCTGGCTTGCTCTTTTAACTTAAATAACCCGTTTCTCTTAATCTACCTTTTTCCTCAGGGCAATTTACCTTTCTTTTTTTCCTGCTCCCTTCAGTGTCCATCTGGCTGGCAGATGCCTGTTTTCTGACCTTGGGCTTTTCCCTCTTTTTCTCTCTCCTCTCCTCTCTCTGGTCTTACATTCTCCTTTTACTTATTCTAATTCTCTCTGCCTGTCAGCCTGCTTTTCCCTCTCCTGCCTAGCTATTGCCCACCTGCTCAGCCTTTTTTTTTTTTTTTTATTAGACCAGTCAAGTGCCTTAGGCAGACAAGGTGAAATAGCAGCACATTTTTTCACGATTAAATAAATGCATAAACAAGTGTATCACACCTTTACATAGTTAAATATTCCACAGCATAAACAAGTGTAACACACTTTTACATAGTTAAAGTAATATTCCACAGCATAAACAAGTGTAACACACCTTTACATAGTTAAAGTAATACTCTACAACAGGTAATAGCTAGGATGCCAGTGTGAATAGAGTGGGCAGGATCACAGAGACAGGTTAAAAGAAATATGGCAGGGCTTCAAAGACATTGCTTTTTGCTTTGAGTTGGGAAGATGCTGAAAGATTTTTAACAGAATGATTGTATCATCTGACATACCTTCTGAGAGGATCACTGTCTGCCAGTGAGACAGCTCAGCTAAATGTATTTGACACAAGGCGGACAATCAGAGTTCTGTCCCTGAGACAGACTCCCCTAGTAGGAGAGGACACACATAAATACATGTAATAGACTTAAAATTGTTTGAAATAAAGTTATCATTTTATATGCATCCCTGTTTTGCCTGCATGTGTGCCTGGTACCCAAGGAAACCTAAGATGGCCTTGGATCCCCTGGAACTGAGCTTATAGATGGTTGTGAGCTGCCATGTGGATGCTGGGAGTTGAACCTGGGACCTTTGGAAGAGGTCATCTCTTCAGCCCCAGTAAACAAAATTTTCTAAAAATAAAAAGATCTCTGTGGCTGCCAGGTTACAGATGTGAGGGAAACAGTGGAAGCAAGAAGCTCATTGTACTGTTTCATTATTTGATGTGAAAGTCCTCTGGGGAATTGGTGCTAATGAGTCGGATAGTGTGTGTGTGTGTGTGTGTGGTGTGCACACATGAGCGTGCATGCGTTTGTGTATATGTGCATGTGTACCATCCGGAGTGTGTGGTGTGCACACATGAGCGTGCATGCGTTTGTGTATATGTGCATGTGTACCATCCGGAGTGTGTGGTGTGCACACATGAGCGTGCATGCGTGCGTGTATATGTGCATGTGTACCGTCAGGAGTTATTAACGAATTGGATGATTGTGTCTGACTTTGTTCTTTTGAGGCAGTTTTGCTATCTAGCCGTGGATGAACTTGAACTTGTGGCAGTCCTGCCTCTTGAGCTTGTAGCTATATGCCACAACCACTCACTATGATTGAGTTCTATTAATTTAGTAGTCATAGACGAGGAACATGATCAGTTGTAACTGAAAGGATTTTGTCCTGACCAGTTTTGAGT